TGAGAGCGGGTTGGATCCAATACTCAGAACTTATGAGCACTCATGAGTGTTGTAGCACCACTTTGTCCACCAACTTGGACCTCTACAAACCAACCCATGACAGTCTTGATTCATATCTACTTCCAACATATGATCCGACTGTGGATGGTTTGAATAACTTAATCATTCAGGAAGAGCGACTTAGTTATTCTGGAAGTCAAAACATGCAAAGTGAAACACAAGAATAAATGAATGAAATATGGTATCAAACCCTATGAATATAAATAAACACTTTTATTTATCACCATACTGATTACTCATTATTCATTGTTTCGGTTTTATCAACTTTATACTTGAATTAAAAACACTAGTTGTCCCATGCTCCAAGCATGTACACTATGTTTTTCTTAAACAATAGCTTTGCCATACACCAAGTATGCACTCTATATTTGTCTATGATCCTTACTTTGTGAAATAAACCAATTGAACATAATTTCAATGATTCTAATTTCACACTCCCAAATCCTTATCGAAAAATGTGAGAATTTCAAATTCCTATCATTTATCGAAATCTGTTTAGATTTTAAACTTATATGCACTGACCCTCCTGTAATGAATATGTACAAAGTCACAAAGACTTGTCAACAGTCATTATAAGGTATTCCAATGGAGATCAACTCCATGGAAACTAAGTCTCATATTCAAAGTATATTGCTTTGGACATGCTTCTTGCATTAAGTTTTCTAATCTTACACAGATAACTTCCACCTATGGAGACAACTCCATATTCTCATTTTGACTATCACTTCTGAATAAGAGATGCCTCTTTTCTGAATATGTCAATATGGTCCTTCCAAAATTAGCACTATACTTCCAACTGTCCCTGAGCAACCAAACTTTGGTAAACCTCAGATTGTCCTCGACAATTGCTTAATCATTTTAGTCATATCTAATTCTAGACCTTTTCCCTTCTTAATGCCTCTGGGCATTTGGAAAAATTTAGAAATGACAAATATTATAGCACATGCAATCGATCCTATACCCAAAGCAAATGGTACACGATTCATGATGTCTCACATAAAGACATGATTCTAGACCAGTCTTTTGCTATAATATTTTTATTTACCATGTTTTCAAAATTTGACTATGAAGAGGGATGTCGTAATCATAATCGAATTTTGAGAACGCAATATATAGAATTTCCTTAAGTTGAACCAATCCAACATGAAATTCATATATATATTCTTGACTAAAGATGATTAAGGTCTCAATCTAAGCCTTTAGAACTGAAATGAAGTATATCCTCTCCCTTAATTATAGCAAAACAACTTTTTCAATCCCTACAGCCTCACGAATTGAAACTTTTGTTTTCTATAATTAACATTGCTAACTTGCAACACTAACAATAATTATCATGCTCCCACTAACATGATGATTATTAGCATAACACTTATGCTCCCACTAGCTTTGACATGTACTCAGAAATCAGCTGGACTTCTAGAAATCAATACTTTATTGACTTTCTTACCAAAGTTCAGATTTCTGATACGAGATGCTTTGATAAAGCTTTATCAAAATCATACACCTTTCCTTAGATAGCATGCATGTGTGTCTAAACAATTTTAGAACTATGAAAAGGGATGCCGTAATCATAGTCTCAATTGTTTAGACCTTTTGTCATCTGCTTCAAATCTACTTGGTGGAAGTGTTTCCTCATCATTATGGTGTATGTGCTCTTATCCATGTGAATCGTCAAAACCATAGTCACAAGACAAGGATAATGACAAATCCAAACTCATATGGACTGAACTTATGCAATCTTAACTTCTTGCCACCTGGCAGTACAGGGCCTGTCATTGCTTCCAAGTTGTTATGGAACCAATTGAGAACTTTCAGAACTCCTATGCAAAGCCAACTTTAACTGGAATGGGCACAGAATATGTCAACACGATTGGTTGTAAACCTCAAGTCGTGTGCTAGTGAAGAGCCTCAGGTTTTATTCTTGATTAGTTCTTGAAATTCTTTTTAGGATCTTTAAGACTCCCACTATCCTCTTGACATATATGACTATCTTGCCAAATATTCAAGAGATAGTGCGGATTCTTTATCAAGACAAACACTTCACACAATTCGCCTTAGTTGGTCTTTGTTTTATCCAAAACATCACAACTTACCAATTTCAAATGTACAAGAGTAGGACACTTTTACTCTTACATTTGACAAGTGTTTTAAACCTTTCTTTAAGATATGTCACTCAAGTTACAATCTTGGAGTATGACTCTAAGAATTGTTTTGGAACAAAGTATGACTCATCTTCCTGATCTAACCATTTCAACAATTCATGACTCCTCTTCTTAGTCATAAGAATGCACTAAGATGACCTTTAGAGGACTAATTGTGAAATGATTTCTAAATCATTAAGATGATCACAAACATGATACTAAAGTACTCTCCCATCTTTTCAGATTTGAGAAACTTTTATCTTTCTGCCTAATTTGATTCTTCCCATTCGTTCTGCCATACATTGAGACTTTTCCAATGTTTCAGAATTATACTTAAACTTGTAAGTATAACCATATTTACTAAACTTTAGTAAATCAAATAGTCATAACGAGCTTTGTGGTGGACATGACCAGTGCAAAAGAATGTGTACTCGATCCCTTTAGTCCTTCACCTGACTCACACATCCATGTGAACAAGTAATTAGTCTTGATTTTCCAATGCTTGAAAGTTCTCATTCATCATACTATTCAACTTGCATGATTCCAAGTTTCGGTCCAATTGAAACTTGGGTGATGAGGAACTTTCCCGATTTGGTAAATTTAGACACTACCACAAATGAAAGAATCAAATCCATTTTCCAATATTGCTGTCAGTGGAATCATATAAGCAACAATTTTCCACAAATGCCATTGTAAGGATACTTCAAATAAATAAAATTAAACAATTTTCTTTTAGTTAAAACTTTGCGGAAAAACTTATCCTTACAATCCACATGGAAAATTGTTGTTATCTATTCCTTAGCAATATATCATAACTTCTTAAGCAACTGCTCAAAATTCTGATGCGATCGAAATCCACCTTCACGATCAGAATCAGCATATACTTCCTTTAAGATTTCTCTCTATTCTTTGATTCTTAAAACATCAACATGTGACCCAGTCACATCATGTAATGAGGATCTCATAATAGAACTTAATAGAGTTAGATAATGGGCTCTACCTGATGTAGAGTCAAACTTATTGACTTTAACATCCTTAGGTAAATTTGGCAGCTTTGCAATCAACGCCCCTTCCTTTGGCAATATAAACATATGGACCCTTTGGTAATGGGACTATCTCAGACTTAGCCTTTCTCTTTACCATTTGGTCAACCGAGTTGACTACGGCCAATCCCTTTCCATTGGGAAGAGAATGCTTTTTCTGGATTTCCAGTGTCACCATTGTCACTGTCCATAAAGTTTTTAGGAAGTTGATCTTCTAATCAAATTTGCTTTACTATCGTTCCAAATCATTGATGATTCAGCAGCACCAAGCAAATAGATATGATCATTAAGGTTCATGTCATAGTCTGTTTCATAGTAGTCCCAAAGGAACTCACTATGTGACTTAGAAAGTGATTGAACATCCAACTTTCTCAAGACTTTGACACCCAACTCTCCCGGCTTGTCAATATGTGACTTCATCTCTAAGATGTGATCACACATAGACCTTGCTTGCCATTAGGGCTTGAGTGACCTTGAACTTGTGGGTTAGGGAGAATAATTGGAGGAGGTGGAGGAAGAGAAGTATGACTTCCATGAGCCAAACTCGGGAAGTCATATTCATTAGGAAAGCTTGGTTTGGGAAGATCATTGGTGTCTAAACCAGACATCAACAATGGGAGAAATTCACGTAAAGTTGATTTAAGTCCTTAATATAACACCCAATATGATATATTAAGGCTAGGACCCAACAAAATATTTTATAACTTGGAAGAGGGATGTCGTAATCCAAGCTATAAAATATTTGAAGGTAGGTGAATGACGATTCACCAATTTCCACCAAGATAACGAAATGTATTATTAGGTTTTAATTGGTTTTGAAACTCCTAGATTCTTTTGAGATTCATTGAACTTTTCAATGGCATGTTTCAATCTCGAGTGTGGCCTTCAGGTTTTGTGACTGGGATGCCGAGGATCACAAAACAAGGTGTGAAGTAACCATGCAAATATACTTGGTACCCTTAATATTTACCCCTCAATCGATGTGCTGGTTAACCACACACGCTCCAACGATACTATGATAAACATTAAGTTACCCTTTGCCTACCTTGTTAAGTCCAGGTTAGTGTGCCGGTTAACCACACACGCTCCACTAACAGCTTAAACAAAGTGCAAAGTGTAATTTCATGGATTAGCACCTTATTCATATTTTCCTAAGTAACTAAGATTGGGAATTTATAAGTGTTTAGTTACTTAGTATTTATCATTATACTTATAATGAAGGGAGAATTATAGTCCTTGTCCTACTTGTTCGGCTAACGACCCTCCACCGGTTAAGGAAGCGGTGAGCGAGAGTGTACAGCCATTAAACTGCCATTTTATAGGCAGTAACCTTATACCCCCCTTATAGACCGGCTTCGTGAATGAGGCCTACTAATGGTAAGACGACTTGCTCTTGTACATATAATATATTAAACTTTTAATATTATAATAGTATAAGGGTGTATTTTAGACATTTAAAATACTTGGTGGTTTAATCTATTAATTAAACTAGACTTTTAATTTAATTAAACTCAAACCATATATTTATGGATTTAATAATACTCTTTTAATTAAACGCTTTAATTAACTATTAATAAAGTCCATAAGAGTTAATTTGAACTATTCAACAAAACATCATAATTCCAATTATTAAACTCAAAATTAAAACCATTTAATTAATTGTTTAAGTTATGAACCCAAGAGTTTTAGAATTCAATTCTTTTTTTCATAAAAAACTTTTAAAACTAATAAAATAATCATATCATTTTATCTTTTACTAAATTTGACCTAATTCAACTCATATAACAAATGATTCAAATTTTATAAATAATTCATTTTTCACAAAACAAGTATTATCTTAAAATTTGACAAACGTCATGTTTATTTTTCCTTTTTTTTCAACTTGAAAATAAAACATTTGCATCAATATAACAAAAAAACAACCCATGGCTCTGATACCACTGTTGGGTTTTGAGCATTCTAACACTCTTATGGTGTACATGCAACCCTATAAACCTTGGATCTTTGTTTTCTCTATTATACATGCAAATATTAACTATTCCAAGGTTTCATCCTAACTAGCATATTATGAAGCACCTATACTACAAAGTTCTAGTTAGATGACATACCTTTTGATGTAGCTTGATGTCTTCAAGCTTTAAGAGCTTAGCCCCAATAGTGTGCAAGCCTCAAATGGAATCAAAAATCACCAAAACACCTTGGAAGAACTTGAGAGAATATGTATGCACACTAAAATCGGCCCACTCTTATTTTCACACACTTGTGTCAATTTTGTGAGCCAAGGACCCCTTTATATATTATGGAGGATTAGGGTTACATCCATGTAAACCCTAATACCCATGACCTTTCATTTACATAGGATCCATGGGTTAAAAGCTCCATGGACCATCCATGAACGCTTAGCCCAACCTAAATGAACTTGGCCCATTCCATATATATAAGAGTCCATATTTAATTAGTTCTTTTTTATCACTTAATTAATTCTAAATTAATTCTTGATCAATACTAATTAAATAATATGATTCCATATTAACATATTAGAACTTATAATATATTAATATAAATCATAAATATACTATTCTCAAAAGACTATCCATATAAATTGTGCCGGTGAAGTGCAACCCAAATGGACCATGCCGGGTCGGGTCAAGTACATACCAAATATAGTTATGGACTTAGACATTAATCCAACAATTGCCTCCTTTGACGCTTCGCTTGCTGTGATGTACTCTGATTCGCACGTTGAATCAGCTACGGTCTCTTGTTTGGAACTTTTCCAAGTCACTGCTCCTCCATTAAGGGTAAAGACCCAGCCTGACTGCGAACGGTAGTTGTCCCTGTCGGTCTGAAAACTTGAGTCACTGTACCCTTGCACCTTTAAGTCATCACTACCCCCGAGGACTAGAAACCATTCCTTGGTCCTCCGAAGGTACTTAAGAATATTCTTCACTGCAGTCCAATGTGCTTTTCCAGGGTTCCCTTGATATCTGCTGACCATGCTCAAAGCGAAGGCCACATCAGGGCAAGTACAAGTCATAGCATACATGATTGAGCCAACTGCGGAAGCATAAGGTACTCGGCTCATCTCTGCTATCTCGACTTCAGTACTAGGACTTTGAGTCTTACTCAACTTGGCATTACTTTGGATTAGTAACTCCCCTTTCTTTGAATTATCCATACTAAAACGTTTTAGTACCTTGTCCAAGTAAGTATTCTGACTAAGTCCTATTAGTCTCTTACTTCTATCTCTCACTATCCTTATTCCCAAAATATAGGAAGCCTCTCCGATGTCCTTCATAGCGAAGCACTTCCCGAGCCAGGACTTATCTTCCTGCAGTGTCGGTATGTCGTTTCCTATGAGTAGTATGTCGTCGACATACAGTACGAGAAAGCTTACTACACTCCCATTGGCTTTGACATATACACATGATTCATCCTCGCTTCGCAGAAAACCAAACTCTTTGACCTTCTCATCAAAACAAAGATTCCATCTGCGAGACGCTAGCTTAAGTCCATAAATGGACTTTTCAAGCTTACACAGTCTGTTGGGATGCTTCGCATTGACAAAACCCTCTGGCTGAGCCATGTAAACATCCTCAGCCAACTTCCCATTAAGGAAAGCGGTTTTGACATCCATTTGCCATATTTCATAGTCATGAAATGCAACAATGGCCAGCATCAATCTGATAGACTTTATCCTCGCAACTGGTGAGAAGGTTTCATCATAGTCAACTCCAGGAGTTTGAGTGAAACCCTTCGCAACCAATCGCGCCTTATAAGTGTGCACATTTCCATCCATGTCGGTCTTCTTTTTGAAGATCCACTTGCACCCGACCGTCTTACGACCTGGTACATTGTCAACCAAATTCCAAACTTGGTTGTCATACATGGACTGAATCTCGCTGTCCATAGCCTCTTTCCATTTCGCAGACTCCGGGCCTGCCATGGCTTCCTTATAGCTGTTAGGTTCGTCCAGATTCACTAGTGTACTATCACTAATGAACGTATCCCCTTCTGTAGTAATATGAAAACCATAAAACTGGGGTGGAACACTAACCCTTTCGGAACGTCTAAGAGGTAAGGACTCGTCAATCAGTTCAACTGGAGTTTCCTCCTCGGGTTGAGCGCCAGTGTTAGAGGTTCCTTCACCGCTCGACTCTTGAAGCTCTTCAAGATCGATTTGCCTCCCACTGTCTCCTTGGCTTATGAGTTCTCACTCTCAGAAAACCCCTCTCCTCACAACGAAGACAACATTGTCACTCGGTCTGTAGAAGATATATCCAAAGGATTTCTGCGGGTAGCTGATGAAAATACATCGCTCACAACGAGGTTCGAGCTTGTCGTGAGTCTCTCATCTTACGAAAGCCTCGCAACCCCAAACCTTGACATCTGCCAACGAGGGAGCTTTCCCTGTCCACATCTCGTGAGGTGTATTTGCAACCTTCTTCGTAGGGACTAAGTTAAGGATATGGGCGGCAGTCTCTAAGGGATACCCCCGAAATGAGATAGGTAGCGAAGCACGACTCATCATGAAACGAACCATGTCCAACAAGGTTTGATTACGCCTCTCAGCCACACCGTTCAACTACGGTGTCCTAGGTGGCGTCAATTGCGAAACGATTCCGCATTCCTTACAATAGTCGTGGAATTCAAGACTTAGGTACTCTCATCCACGATCGGATCGAAGCATCTTGATTTTCCTACCCAACTGATTCTCCACTTCTTTTTAAATTCTTTGAACTTTTCAAAGGTTTCTGACTTATGCCTTATTAAGTAGACATAGCCATATCTCCTATAATCATCAGTAAAAGTCACATAGAAGCGGCATGCATCCCTTGTGGTGGATTTGAATGGTCCACATACATCTGTATGTATGAGGTCCAATAAACCCTCGCCCCTTGCACAAGTGTCAGTGAAGGGCGACTTGGTCATCTTTCCAAGCAAACAAGATTCGCACACGTCATCGTCCCTAAGGTAGAATGACTCCAACACTCCATTCTTTTGGAGTTGGGCTATGCGTTTCTTGTTGACATGTCCAAGACGAAAATGCCATTAGCATGCTTTATCCAAACTATTGGATGAATCAATACACAACACATCATTTCTTAAGTTATCTACAATCATCACAGTTTCATATATCCCATTACAAGGCAATGCTTCAAAATAAAATACACTATTAAGATAAGCATTAATAGAACCTTTTTCATTATCAAATGAATATCTAAAACCTTTTTTATATAAACCATGAAATGAAATGATGTTTCTTGCCATATATGGCGATTAGAAACAATTGTTTAAATCTAATCCTAATCTACTACTGAGCATTAAAGAGTAAACTCTGATCTTGGTAACAGGCGACGATCTTCGGTTCCACATGATCAAATTAATCTTCCCATGCTCCACATCCCTATCTCTTCTTAGGCCCTGCAAATCGGAACAAATGTGAAAACCACATCCTGTATCAAGTACCCAAGAAATAGAATGTGATGAATCATTAGATTTAATTGTGTAAATACCTGCGTAAGATGGCTTGATCTTCCCATCCTTGATGTCGTGCAGATATTTCGGGCAGCTTCTCTTCCAATGCCCTATCTTGTGGCAGTGGTGGCACTCTGCCTCCTTAGGGTTTGAGGGAGCCTTCCTCTTCTTACCCTTCCCTTTCCATATTGCCAAGACAGGGGTAGCAGCGGGAGTTGGAGTTGATGCAACAGATTTGTCCTTGAGGTTGCTCTCAGCCGTCCTCAACAAGCCCTAAAGCTTGCTCAAAGAGACCTCCTCCTTATTCATGTGGTAGGTCATGTGGAATTGGCTATAGCAGGGAGGCAAGGAATGAAGGATGATATCAATCGCCAGCTCTTCATCGAAGTTCACATTCAACTTCACCAGGTGATCGACATATCTCTGCATCTTTTCCAGATGAGCGGTAAGGGACTCTCCACTACCCACTTCGGTAGTGATCATCGAAGTGATGATCTCGTACCTTTCTTGCCTAGCGCTCTGGTGGTAGCGTTCCAGCAGATCTTGATGCATCTCATAGGGTTACTTGTCCTCATAGGACTTCTGGAGTTCTGCAGTCATAGTCGCCAGCATGATGCAATGTACTTTCGTGGCATCACGCTCGTGGGCCTCATAGGCCGCAATCTCTTCAGCAGAGGCAGTGTCGATGTCAATCTCCTTCAGCTTCTCATCGAGGACATATTCTTTGTCCTCGTAGCGAGTGACCATGCGAATGTCGCGGATCCAATTACTGCAATTGGTCCCATCAAAGATCACTTTCCCACACAAGTTCATGAGTGAGAACGACCCAGAGGAGTTTGAACCAGAAGCGTTGTTGTTTGAGTTCAACATCTGAAAAGAAAAAAGAACAAAGTTTGATTAGAAACGAATTCCCCAATTAAACACCCAAATGAGAAATTAGGGCTAGGAACCAAAAACATTATTCACAAATTAGAAAAGGGATGTCGTAATCTAACAAGCAAATAATTTGAAGGTAAGTGAATGTCGATTCACTAATTCTCCACCATGAAAAACGAAAAAGAGATTAAGTTTTAAATGTATTGAAAAACTCCTAGATCCTTTGAGATTCATTGAACCTTTCAATGGCATGTTTAAATCTCGATATGCCCCTCTAGTTTGTGACTCGGATGCCGAGGATCACAAAGCGGGTGTGAATAACCATGCAAATATACATGGTACCCTCATTGTTACAGTCACCTATTCGATGTGCTGGTTAACCACACACGCTCCATCGAACTATGACAAACAATGAGTCACCCTTTGCCACCTTTGCTTAGAACCCAATTCATGTGCCGGTTAACCACACACGCTCCATTAACGTCTTAGCAAGGGTACAAAGTGTAATTTCATGGAATTGCCTCAAATTCACTTTTGCCTAAAGTAACTAAGATTGGAAATTTTAAAAAAAAATATTTAGTTACTTTATATAGATTCATTATACTTTTAATGAGGAAAGGTTTGCCCTATCCTACCCGTTCGGCTAACGACCCTCCACCAATCAAGGAAGCGGTGGGTGAGAGTGGACACCCATTAAACGGCCATTTTATAGGCCATAACCTTATACCCCCCTTATAGATCGGCTTCGTGAATGAGGCCTACTAACGGTAAGACTAGCATTTAAGTCATATATATATATATATATATATATATATATATATATATATATATATATATATATATATATTAATCTTGTAATGTATAATAGTATAGGGTGAATTTTAAACTTGTAAAATTCTAGTGTTTGAAATTTAAATAGTTTAAATTAAACATTTTAATCACAAAATTTAAATTTCAAAATTTGAGGACAAGTTTTGAACTTTTCAAAACACAAAAGATCAAATAGCAAATAATTTAAATTAAACAGTTAATTTAATGATTATCTAAATTTTACCTAATCAATTTTATTTACAAGATAATTCAACAATTAATTCAAATAATCAAATATTATCAAATAAGGAATTTATTCTTTAAACAATTGGTAATTATCTTTTGATTTGGTCAGGATAATCATAAAACAGTAATAAAATTCGGATTTTATTAGTTAAAAACGATTTAGGCAATTATCTTTAAGCAAAACAGCAAGAAATCCCGAAAATCCCTTTGTTTGACGCTCCGACTGGCCGAGTCAGTAATTGGACTCGCCGAGTTGGGCCGACTCGCCGAGTGCAGCAGGTGACTCGCCGAGTCAGTTCGAGCAGAGGGCCAAAAAAATTGTTTTTTTTTTCAGCAAGATGAACATACAAGGCATCAATACAATAGAAACCAAACAAAGCTCTGATGCCACTGATGGGTTTGAGCCATAAGAACTTTCCTATGTGCACATGGAAACCCTAATGCTTGGATCTAGGTTTCTCTAATTGTACATGCATTCATACAAGACTTTGAAACCCTAGATCTAGTGTATACAATTCGAATTTGACATAAGAAAGTCAGATCTAGATGATTACCTCTTGTTGCTTGCTTGAATCTTCTTGTTCTTGGAGCTTAGAGTCACAAGTGTCACTCCTCTAATGGCTTACAAACGCCAATTGGCAAGAGGGAAATATGAGAGAGGGTAATGACTTATGATTTTCGGCTCTAGGGTTTCCACGAGAACAAGTGGCCGAAAATCATATCCCAAGGGTCCTATTTATACTGTGAGCAGTTACGGTTTCAGTCAAAACCCTAATGGACAACTTGTTCACCAAGCAGCCCATGGAACCTGCAAGAGTAAGGCCCCGGACGAAATCTAGATGGGTTCCTACCCACAATTTCGTCCACCCCTTAACCATAAAGGCTTCCCAGCCGAAAAAAGCAACTATCACATATTTGACAGTTTAAGCCCCTTTATTCAATTAATCTCTTTTAGTCACCAAATTAATTCTTAATTAATTTATGAGCAATATCAATTAAATAATATGATTATTCCTTTTAATATATTATTCTCATAATATATTAATAAAATCATAATATATTCTCTGTCTCCATAAACTACCCTGTCAAGTTGCTATGGTGAAGACAACCCAAAAGGACCATGCACAGTCGGGTCAAGTACTTACCAAATATAGTTACGGGCTTAGACACTAATCCAACAGTTACAATAACACATTTCATTAACAATTAGATCAAATTTTTGGATCATACCCAATTATCATATAATTATTCCTATTGATCTAAACAAACTCATAACAAGACAATTCATATCAAATACTACATATAATTACTTTATTATCTAAACATTTGACAATTTCCTTTTAAATGGATGAAGACAATCATTACCAATTCAGAAAATACAATTTTTATGATTACAAAACAGTTTGTGGTAATGACTATATCCATTTCCGGCCAAGAACTCGAAGTTTCTGCACACAGGAGCACCAACTCGTCGAGTACATGAACTGGACTCGCCGAGTTGATGCCTTACTGAGTAGACTCGTCGAGTCTATTCATGGACTCGGCGAGTTCATCTATCAGAATGCAGAAAAATCGATTTTCAGCTTTGAAAACAAGTGTGCATCAAGTATAATAGAAAGCAATCCTAGGCTCTGATACCACTATTGGGTTTTAAGCAGTATAACACTCCTATGGTGCACATGCAACCCTAAATGCTTTGGAACTATGTTTTCTCTAATTATACATGGATTTTCAAATTTCCAAATCATATAACTTAACTAGCATATAATTCAAAATAAGAACTAGTTAGATAACTTACATCTTGTGTACTTCTTGACCTTAGAAGCTTGAGCACTTCAAATGTTGTGTCTGTAATGTGTCACAAACACCAATATGCAAAGGAGGCTCTTTAGAGAATAAGTTAGCTTGGAAAATCGGTTCACACACACTTGTATGTAGGGGTTAACCGAATTTGTCACTAAGGGGACTCTTTTATAGTGTTTCTCAAAGCTAGGGTTTCATCCATGAAACCCTAATGCACCATGACCTTCCATATCCCTTAGGCTCCATGGGTTAAAGCTCCATGGACTATCCATAAACCACTTAGCCCACCCTAATGGATCTTTTGCCCACACTATAAGA